TCGATGATTCATATGACTCTTTACTTATAGACAATGAGAAGTCCCATTGGATGTTAGATGTTGGATTCCGATTTCTTGGTTTAACTCCTTATCATGCAATGAATGCCAAAAGCTAATTAGATTTATGCTTAGGGAAAATAATTAAAAAATGACCGCAAATTAAATATATGTTTAGGCAAATTTTTACCTAAACTAAGCATGTTCCGATGGCTTTAAGCAACCAAATTAAGCACTACATAAATAATAAATGTATAGCTTGGATAATTGTTTGTGATGGCGATCACTATCACTACAATATAATATATTACCATATTAGTCTAATAGTCTATCTAATTAATATAAAATAAATTAATTAATACAAGGTAATTAAACTAGAACATAGTCATTTGATTAGTAGTAGAAGAGGGGCCAAGAAATTGAGAAAAACACCCATGAAATGGTCAAGAAATTGAGCCACACAACACAAGTAGAGTATATTTATAATAGGAAGTGAGTAAGCAAAAAAAGGGGTGAGAGGAGCGTCCTACGTTTGGCTCTAGCACCAAAAAGCAGGAGCAATGAAAAAAGCCAACCAAATTTAGCGGGCAAAAGTTGGCAATCACTGCTTATTCTTTGCACTTTAGTGTGAAACTAAAGATATGACACTACATAAAGCCAAAAGAATTTTAAGCCCACCCCGGCACCTCCGTCGTATTTCCTCCATCTCTTAATTATATGGAATGATAGAATATAAAACAAATTATAGGGCTAGCTGATGATGATTAGTTTCTCAAATTGGTTCTATGCTCTACCACACACCCTTATATTAGAATTTTTCAGTCGTGAAATGTATTATATGTAGACGTATCAGATGAATGAGTTTGAACTCATGACCTTTTTTGTCTAATTAATTTGAAGCCATGTCAAAAGACCAAACATTTAAAATAAAATGTAAGCTTAGATGTGTACAAATGTGTAAAAAAAAATGAAAATAGTTATAATTTGAAACTTCAAGAAAAATAAGTAATGTAGCATTGATATTTCTAACCATGGTATTATTCATTGATTTTCTAAATGACAAATTTTGTTGTATTTTCTTAGATTTTGCTTGTGAGGTGTTTAGCATATGATTTTTGGAATTTAATCAAGTGATTTTCCGTTGACAATGTTGTAATCACAACGTGCCATCAATATATATTGGTTGAAAAAAAATCTAGACCAAGTTGGTTGTCTTTTTTTCTAATTACAAGTAATAACAGTAATCCTTATTGCTAATCTAATAGTAATATTTATTGGTTTTTTTTATCAATGTGATTATGTGAATGTGATTATTAGCTACTCTGCAATTTCCTCCACCTTTCGTTGAGGCAAAAAGTGATTGATTTTCATTTTTAATTAAGGATTAATTAGCAATGCAATTTCGTCTCTTGTTTGATTACCCATTATTTGTAACTCTTTGTGAGACTTTTATCCCTGAAATGTTCTAGTTTAGCTAAAAATTATATACGAAGTACATTAATACTTTTTGTATTTTTGTATATCAATACTGAAACGAAACCACGTGAGTTGAAATGATATTTTCTTTGGACTTCTAAATGACCCAACCCCTCATTCTCATTGATGAGGGTGGCACGTACCTTTCTGATTTAGGGCCTATTCTAATTTACTGAGCTAAACTGAATTAAATTGATTGAAGCTGAATTGAACTAAACTGAATTGAATAGAGCTGAAATGAATTGTTTACGAGAGAAGGAAATTAGGAACTACACTGAGCTGATTAGAGCTGAATTGAACTGAACTAAAGCTGAAGAGAACAACCTCTTCGAGTTAATTAAGATTGAAAATTTTGGTCTAGAATTAGTTATTAGTTATAGCTACCATACTTCCTTCGCTCATTGTTATTGCACCAAGAAAATCATTTTTTTTGGGCAGTGAGAAAAAAAAATTTCCTCTGCTTTTTTTAGTTGACATCTATTATCACACTTGCCAACGCATGTTTTTAACGCTTAATAACTTCAATTATCAACACTAGATTAAGCCCGTGCCATGCACGGTTTGTTTGAATTTTATAATTTTTTTTTTGTATTTATGTGCTAATTTGTTACATATTTAGATAAAATTTCTAATACCAAAATTATATTTTATATTTAATTAATTTAAACTTAAAAATATCATTCGCCAATTTTTTTTACGTGGCATTTGAATTAATTAATTCTACAAAAAAATTGATAATCTCTTAAAATTTATAATCCTACGTGGTGCATATATATTTAGATAAAATTTCTGATATCATAAGATAATATTTTATATTTTATTAATTTAAACTGGAAAATCTCATTCGCCAATTTGCTTACGTGTCATTTAATTTATTTAATTCTAAAAGAAATTATTAATCTCGTATTTAATTGGCTACCACTAAAATTTATTATCTTATGTGGCTCTCTAAAAACTCGGGAAAAAACTCCCCTATATATATATATATTAGATTGTAAAATTATATAAAAAAATGGATATAAATAAAATATACATATAGACGATTCGATCCCACATGACCATATTTTATCGTATCTGTAAATCACAAAAGCGAGTCAAAGTGTAATATGTGAATAGTGTAAAAGTCAAACAGTGTCAACTAAAAAAAAAACGGAGGAAAATATGAGAAAAAGCAAAAAACAAAAACAAAAACAAAATTGTCTAAGAGATTGTAAGCATGAATTAAAGAAAAAAGTGTTAAAAAGTAACAATGCAATTAAGTATTTGTTGTGTGAATAAAAATATACACAATCAATCAATAAATCAATTAAATTCTTAATCCCATAAGTAAAGTCAGCTATTACATGAGCCAAAATTTTATACACACATAAATTCTTGACATTCATCATCGGTTTCCAAACAATCAATAATAAACACATTGTCTTTTGTAATTTCGTTCCCTCAAAAAATAAAAAAAAATAAAAAACTTCTAATTGATAACTGCGAAGTAATCGGTTAATTCTAAGTTATGTTTGGTACAAGAAACAAATCATATATCCCAAATACTGAAAGGCGTCAATATGAAATCAATCACGGTATAGAAATTTTTTGAAATGAATGATCATATACTTTCATACGTCCTCTCGTCTCCCATATTTCTTCTCCCTCAACCTCAATCCCTTACATGAAGTGATTAGTTAAAATATCAATCACTCCAATTCTATGGAATTTATAATCATTTTTGTTTGGTTTGATCCAAAAGACAAAATGGCATGAGAGTTTGCGCAAATTAGTAGTGATATATTATTAGACTTGCAAAGGTGAAGACCCTACCACTACGAAAATCACCTACTTTTCTTTTTAATTTAACGAGACATCCAAATTATTTAGGGAAGAAAAACAACAATTAATTTGTGAAGACCTATAAGAAACAACAAAACTTGTTAAACTAATACATTGTTTTCTCTATAATGCTTAAATTTAGTTGTCCGATGATCTAAACTAATAAAGGACCTTACTAATGCTTCTCATTAACAATTGTGTTGTAACGATATCTAAATGGTCATGGACCAAACCAATGTATAAAATAGGTAGTAATTAACTTTAAAGTTATCTTTTGACCTTTTAAATCTTATAAAATAGAACATAATGTTAAAAATAATTTATGGTCTAATATGTTAATATGACTTACAATTTGAAACATAAATCACATCAAATTGATTTATGGTGTATTTTAAGTAGTCTCATAATGGTCGAAAGCCTCATATATATTGTCAAAATTTCTAACCACTGTCTGTCTGCCTTTGAAACCATAGCTTATACTACTTTTTTTTTTTTTTTTTTTTAATTAACACGTTTTGACTTTAGCATTATTCACATACTTCCCTTTGACCGTGTTTTATGTTTTATAGATAATGAACAATATAGTCATTTGGGATCTTGTTAGACTCGTCACGATATATATTTATAAAATATCAACTCTTTATAATTTTTGCTTATCGGTAATTAAAGATATTAAAGGTTGAATTTGTGTATTGGCAAACGTGACTAAACAAACGTGTCAACTAAAAAGAAACGAAGGGCGCATGTACTTAAATTAGTTAGTTAATACTTTGTATTGTATATTAGTTATATAATACTCTGTATTGAGGGCATTCAACAAATTAAAATGGGAAGGCGTAGTTGCTATGAGTCATCAATGGCTTTAATTAAAATAGTGTAAGTTTAACTTAGACAGTCTAAAATATGTTTTTTAAACCTTGAGCATCTCACAGGCACGCTTAGGCTCAGTCGCTCACAGCCTCCGAATGATATGACTCTGACACAACATAACGAATTTGGGTATGAATTATTGGATTAAGCTTGGTATGACACTATTTTGGGTGAGCTACGATAACTGTTACATGGAGTCGGTAAAAGGTTTATCGTCCAATTGAATACCTGCATAGTTTACGTGGATTAACCAACTCGAGGTTTATCCGGGGATAATTGCTCCGATACTAAAGTTAGAATGTGACAGGTTGATATGAGTAAGAAAGGAGGTGTGAGAGAGTTTTTAGAGAGAGAGTTTTTAGAGAGAGAGATTTTGAGATATAAAAATCGTACCTTTAAAGTGAATTATATTTGAAAATTTATAGGAAGATAACCAAGCTAGTGCCATGTATCGATCCACATAGTTGGCATGAGAAGTGGTCGGTGAATATCCATATGGTCACAAGTAACTCTCCACATGGCTGATGAGAGTATGCCGATATGATATTCATACCGATATAGAACATGATTTAAAAATTTGTCTAAATCCGTTGCTTTTTATATTATATGGTACCAATATCATCCCATATAGAGAAGACATTTGAGGTTTATTATTTATTCATTTTCAATTTAGAATACAAATTGGAAATTGACTACTATATTCACCAACAAAAAATTATTAGAAGGGGACCAATGTCCAACAATATTACGGGAAATACATACCTAATTTTATAATTTAATTTAATTTAATTTCTTATTATTTAATTTTAAAATTTCAAGGTAAAAGGAGACCAATATTCTCCATATATATAGACTATCAGATTCACTTACAAACTTCACCCTCACTCTCCCACTCTCACTTCTCCCCAACCACCCAAAACCACCACCTCTCTCTCCTCTCCGCCATGAAAAACCACTGTTAAATAGATTCTCCGCCACCATCGCCGCCACCTCTCCGCCATGTCAATATCATATGCTGATTGTTTATCCGACTTACTTTGTTCCGAGGAATCCGGCGAAGTTATCTCCGCCGGAGATTCCCCTGAGATCTCATCGGAATGCGAATCTCCGGTGATTATCGATGACGACGAATCGATAATCGCCGGGTTCATCGAAGAAGAACGGAACTCATTCACTAGTTTTATCGCCTCCGGCGATAGCGATCCTGGCTCTCTTTCTCCCTCCACCACCACCACCACCACCGCCGTGTCTAACTCCTCACCCCTCTTGGATTCTTCCGCTCGCTCTCGATCAGTAGCATGGATTTTCAAGGTACGATAACAATATATAATCGCCTTTGATCGTGTTAAATCGACGTGTATAACGCATGCGCTAGTGAATTGGTGGCGGCTATGGCAGATTACTGTTGTAATGGCCACGTCATATTAATGGTATTGCACCGTAATTTATTTTGTTTAAATAAAAAAAAAGTTAAAATAGGTGGAAAAAGGTGGATCTGTTATGTTGAGCCGTGCGTATAAAAAATGATTATGGAGAAAGTGGCGGCGCGCCTTAGTACACTTTCGCTTTTATATTTTGTTTTTATTTAATGATAATTACTTATGCATAATTTTTTCCTAAAAAGATGGATTAATTTTTATTTTTTAATTTTATTTTCCGTGTTAATCCATGAATTATTCAACGGGTTAATCAAACTAAACTTTTAACTAAGTAGCCTTTTAATTTTTCTTCAAAAAAAAAAAGTAACCTTTTAATTGGTGTCAAACCATGATTTCTAAAACGAGTTGATCTAATTAAACTTGTTACACAATAACTTTTTAAATCGTAAAATTTATATGGATCTCAACTTATTTAACATTTAATTAAAGTGAAGTGATCCACTTTTAATTTCTTATTTAAATGTCTTAAGTATACTATTCTTTTTATTAAATCTACATTTGTTTAATTTAAGTGTTTGATACGTATAATTTGTCACTTATGTACTTTTTAAGCTTTCCTAAGATATTTATATTCGTTCAAAGTATTTATTTACAATAACTAGAATTATTAAAGGACAAATTTTAGTTATAATAATGGATTAATGGGTATAAACTCTATTAAGTTAACATGTAAAGTATTTTGAATACTTTTTTGTTTATCCATGATGTTATTCTATGATAAACTTTTTTTTTTTTTCAAAGTGTTTAACTTATTGTTAAATTAATACTTTAAGGGATATTAATCCTATTATTATTCCTATTGTTTTATGACTTTATAAATAGCAATACTTGTAAAAAAATGTTTTATTATAAAAAAATTTACTACTAATACGAAGTAATAAAGATTACACTTTCGCTACGTTATGTTTTCACTTTTTCATTGTAAGGTCTACAATGTATTATCTGATCTCTAATATCATCGATATTATAGTACAGTATAAACTATAAAAGTTTAATTTTCATCTTTATATTAAAATTAATTTTACAAGATTTATTTTCTAGTGTCTATTTAAATTAAAGGTTGTACGGAGCAAATATTATTTTGAAAATTGTAGTTAGTATTCTTCATATTTCTTAATACTACGGAGTAGCTGTCAGTATATTTTAACACGTAGCTTTAAAACAAACATTATAGTCAAAGTTTGAAAAAGTTTTTCTTAGTTATAGCTACAATTATACTCCGTATTTTTCGTACTACACTGCTGCGTACATTAAAATGTACTCCGTGATAAATTTTGATGAATATGAATAAAAACACATACTTCCTCTATTTCTGTTTAGTTAACGTATTTAATTTAGACACATATATTAAGGAGAAGAGAGAGAGTGAGAAAGAATGAAAAAGTAAGTGGGGTACTTTGTAAATGCAAGATAAAAAGTTTGCCCCAAAAGGAAACATAAACTAATAAAAATTTCCTAAAAAAAAATACGTGTCAACTAAAAAGAAACGGGGTAGTATTTTTTACTTGAAAAGGTTGACTAGAAATGAAGAGGATAGACTAAAATGCTTACACTAGAGAGTTAATTACTAATTATGTGGCACTTATAAAACAAAGCTAGATAAGTGGATACTCCGTATTATGGAGTATATTTAACTAATCATGGATTCATGGAGTATACTTTGAATATGCGAGTATTTTAGTTTTAATTTAAAATCTATTATCGTAATACTTTAATCTGTTTTATAATGAAAAAAAAAATAAATTATTATGGTAAAGTAACCAATTAATATGGACTAATACTTTTTTATAATGTTTTACTTATGACTTATAACGGGTATATTTATTTGCTCAGTAAAGTACGGAGTAACATAGAACAAATGCGAAAATAAAAAAAGGATACTCGTAGTTTATTTATTTATTTTATTTTATTTAAAGAAAGTTTATTATTTATAATATTGAAAATATTACGTAAATGACCAAATATAAAAATGGATTTGTTGGTGGCCAAGCTATTTTCTCTTTAAATCAAAAAAATTTCATTTCTGTTTTTAAGGAACTTATTAATATAATTCAAAATTAAATTGACTTTGGTTTGATTTTGTTTTTATTCTTTATTGATAATATAAACAGGTGAGAGCGTTCTATGGATTTCAGGCAGAGACAGCATACCTCGCTGTCAACTACTTAGATCGCTTTCTAAGTTGCCATCATATACCAGTAAGTTATTTTGTCATTGAAATTTTCAAACGTATATAACTAAGTATTTATTGTCACAATATTACGGTGCTGAGAATCGAGCTTAAAATCTTTTGAAATTGAGAGGAAAACTCTAACCACTTAATCTATATTTTACTTTTATTTATTGTCACTGTATATATATATTTGCTTCGTCCTATTTTCATTGTCACTTGTTACGGAACTAGTTCAAGCAAGTACCTCTCTAGTTCCAAAACCAATACGACGTCCTATATGATTTATCTCTTGGTCAAATTTCATTAACTTTGACCATTAATTGATTCACATTTGTAGTAGCGGTCAAAATAATACATATATTAGATCGAGATCACGAAATATTTTGAGATGGAGAGAGTATATAGATCGGATATCACATATTAGTATTGTCATGATACTATTTTTAGACGTAGTAAGTTTGTATTTGTTATCGGAAAATGGGACCTTAGGTCATAATTGAAGTACTTCCCTTTCATTTCTTCCTCCTGAATTAAATCCCCCCCGCTCCAATATTATCTGTCTCAATTATACCAATCTCTGCAATGAATTTAAGTGGATGACCAGAGTATTCATGGAAAAAGAGCTAGCTACTCACCGACCCTTTTTAAATATTTCTGGTCTTTTTGCCCTACATGTCAATTTCCATTATTACATTAGGGACTACAACTAGTATACAATATAGTGATTCTTAGAAAAAAAAAAAAAAAAAAGTAAAAACACATCACTTGACTATTATCAGATCCAAACGAGGATCTAGGAGATGGAGGGATAGTTAGTCCCTCCATCTCTCCTCGGAGGTTCGAATCTCATCCCCCCTCCTGTGATAGGAGGGGCACCCTGTGTACCTTGAAAAAAAAAAAAATCAAATTTATACATGCTTAAGTGGTCACACACTCTTGGATCAAGTGAGAGTTCAATGATAGAGTTCACAACATCTGATCAAAAGAGTGTTGGCCTAATAATCATCACCTCCCTAAACTTTACGATCTATATTAGTTGTTATACATGAAGTATATACCCAACCTTTGCTAATGTACATAAACTTTAAGACTTTTGAGGGTTGAAGAAGTGATGAACTTTAGAATTCACATGGATATCGTGTGATATAAATTACTACTTTATTCTTATAACGTTTCATATGATCTGTGGAAATTAAACAAGGGATATGATCAAAACGTTCTTCAAACTTGATTTCTTTTTTTCTTAAAGTAGCAATTTATTGAATTATTTAATATATAAATGATGAAGGTAATCATTGCTAAAAATGCAGTCGTAGTAAATAATTTGCGTAAGAACTAATGGTGGGTGATGAGTTGATAACTATTGACTAGAAAATGGACTTCTCAATTGCATTAAAAAATAATAATTAAAAAATAAAATAAAAAAAATAAAAGTCATGCACTTCTAATTAAGAATTTTAGAATGAAACGTGGCATTTTATTTGATGCAAATTAACCAAATAAAGCAACTTTTTAAAGAATATAGTCGTACGTCCAATTCCTTCAGTACAACTGTACAAGTGTACAATTACTACTCTAACGGTATATACTCCTTAACTAATGAACTACTACCTCCGTTAATTGTTATCTGCAACTTTGGAATATTTTATATCTCTCAAATAATACCTCAAATTGCAGATAACAATTAACGGAAGTAGTACATTATATATGTCTCGTGGAGTTGGTGGGCAACTCACCTTGTGACTTTAAGGTGACAAGTTTAAACCCCCAACAACTACAAAAATTCATGGGAGTAGGGGGATTTCCTTACTTCCCCATTTACTCTTAAGCGGTGATCTGCAGAACTAGAATGACTAAACTGGTGAGAGGTGTTGGTTCAATAGGATCTTTTATCTTACCTTAAAATAAAAAAAAAAATTAAAAAAAAAATTCGTAAATCTACCCTTAGTTTTGCATTTCAATATGTATATGCATGCATGTAGCACTGTCAAAAACCGAATCGAACTGGTGAAACCGAACCGTTTCAACCGATCCGAATGAGAACCGAACCGATTAAAAACCGATTTTATGAAACCGAAAACCGACCCGAACAGCATGTTAGTAAAACCGAAACCGAACCGATCCGAGTAAACGTTAAACCGTTTAAGAACCGAACCAAATCTAAACCGAACTGAAAGGAAAACCGAACCGAAAATGAACCGAACCGTTTCTAACTCGAAACCGTTTAAACTGGCATAAAAACCGTTTACACCGAACCGTTAACAAACTGCAACCCGTTTGCACCAAACCGTTTATAAACCGAACTGATTATAAACTGAACCGCTTATAAACCGAACCGTTTATGAACTGAATCGCTTATAATTCGAACCGTTACAAACCACTTCCTATAAGGGGTTTTTTGAACGACTCGATAAAAAACCGATTTTTTGAAATAAAAAACAGACCCGAACCGTAATTTAGTAAACCTGAAATAAAACCGATACAAATAATGTTAAATCGTAGAAGAACCGTACCCGTTAACGAACCGAACCAGTTATAAACCGAACTAAAATAAAACTGAACCAAAAAAGAACCAAAGTGTTGTAACCGGACAAAAACCGTTAACAAACCGCAACCTGTACCGTTTACTACCCGAACCGTTTACAACCCGGACCGAATTTAAACCAGGATAAAAACCGTTTACACCGAACTGTTAACAAACCGCAACCCGTTTGCACCGGACCGTTTACTACCCGAACCGTTTACAACCCGAACCGAATTTAAACCGTTCAAGAATAAACCGAAACCGAATCGAACCGATAATTATTTAAACTGAACTGAAACCGACCCGTAAGACATTTGAACCGATTTCAAACCGACCCAATTTTAAACCGAACCGATTTCAAACCGAACCGAAACCGAACTGTCAAACCGTTTTGACAGTACTGCATGCATGTGTTTGTTTAATGCCTAGGGCCATCCCCGCCCTAAACGCTATTGAAGCATCATACTTTCAAATGTATCTAATAATCTGCATGTGAATTCACGAAAGGAATAACTTACCTGATCTTCCAATTTTTCTTATTAGTTGTCGTAAAGATTAATTATTGATTAGCATTATTTAAGACCGGTGTCTTCCATGGATGCACCTAATAATTTATGGATGATTAAGTATAATGTATACATAATTATATCTACATAATCTTAAAATTAAGTTGAATTATTGAGATGATCGAAGCTTTTTTGAAATGCAGCAAACAGGTGGGTGGCCATTACAACTTTTATCAGTTGCATGCTTGTCACTAGCTGCCAAGATGGAGGAACCTCTTGTTCCTTCCTTATTGGATATTCAGGTCACTATCAATTTTTTCAAGCATATATTTCCATTTTTTTCCAGCAAATTCTGTAACCTCAAAACCATCCTTTTCAAGAATCTCTATTATTAACAACCTAGCTAATTAATTAACTAATTAATCATGATTGGATTATTTTAATTAGGTTGAAAGTAAGAAATTCGTTTTCGAGCCTAAGACGATCCAACGTATGGAACTCCTCGTGCTTACGGTTTTGAATTGGAGATTACGACTTGTCACACCCTTTACCTTCATTAGTTTCTTCGCGTACAAGGTTGATGTTACAGGATCGTACATTGGCCTTTTAATCTCACAATCAACCGATCTTATTCTCTCTAATATACGTGGTACGTACGTAATTACGTACTTTATGTTACAATGTCACAATTTATTTGTATGAAGCTTAAAAAGTGATTATAAACTTAATTAGCTAAACTTTTTACTTTTTTTTTTTTTTTGGGCTTATGGGTGTAGCAGAGGGCAGCTTAGTGGAATACTGGCCATCAAGCATAGCAGCAGCTGCCATACTTTGTGCAGCAAGTGAAATACCAAGTTTGTCCTTTGTCACACCTGAGCATGCTGAGTCATGGTGCGATGGGCTTTGTAAAGTAAGCATATTCACATGTTTTTATTTTAAAATTTTTCTCAATATTAATAATTTTTGGTTACATCTTTTCAAAATAAATAATTTTTTACATCTTTTCAAAATAAATAATTTTTGCTTACATGATACTATGCATTAGTGTCCCTAATTCTCCCTCTTATGTCCCACACATTCTATTCCTCATTAGCTCTCAATTCAATAATACATATTACTCCTCTAAATTTTGTACTGATTGTGTCCCAATCTATGTGTCTTTTATGATTCTCCACGGTGTCAGTATCATTGCTTACGTAATTACAATACTGTAACAATATAAAAAGTTGATATTTTAAAAATGCTGTATTTTTCTTCGTGATAAGATAGCTTAAATTGGGACAAAAAAAGTACATTATGCGTCGTTATTGTATTAAATTGAGACGGTAGCAAAGTATGATGAAAAACTTGACAATAAATTGATTAATTTTTCAATATTGTTGCAGGAAAAGATAATGGATTGCTACAAATTAATGCAACAATTTGTGGTTGATCATAGGAGAAGGAAATCCATCAAAGTGATACCACAACTCAGAGTTACAGCAAAAATTACAAAAATCAGGTCATTTAATGACTCATCTCCATCTTCATCTTCCACCTCATCACCATCACCCTTCTCTATTAAAAGGAGAAGATTAAACAATAATCATTCATGGATGGATGATGATCATGATCTCTAAAAATCCTACAAAAAAACTTTTTTTTTTCTTTCTCCATTGGATGGGTTTTTAGTTAAATTTTCAATTAGCCAAAAAAAATATTTTTTTTTTTTGGGCATTGCCATTTATTTAATCAAGAAAAAATGGCTTTTGCACACTCCCAAGGGTGTTGGGAGATTGTCTAGTACAATGTATATGTGTACATGATTTTGTGTGACAAAACAAATAAACAATATAGTGGTGGATGAGATTAGGAGAGAAAAATAATAATAATAATTTAAAAAAAGAGGTGGAGGAGTTTTGATAGTGGGAGTCATGGAAGTGGGGGTGTTGATATTGCAAATTCAAAGGTTGCATTGATTATTGAATGAATGAGATGAAGATTTTTCTTTTGGGAGAAAAATGTGGGGTCCTTTTCATTGTATAGGTGATGAAAAATGAGGTTTGTGAGGGGCAAATTCCATAAATTTCAAAATGGTTGATTTTTTAAAGATATATTTTTATTTTATTTTGGGAGAAATAAGCCTAGTCTTTCTCAATCTCAATTTCAATCTCTACCTAGGTTGCAATAAATGCCAATAATCCAATCAAGAAAAAGAAGAGGGAAAAGTTGAAAAGAAAGGAGATATGCAAGAATGAATAAGATGGGTTGTCAATTATTATATCAGAATTGTTACATTAGGAAAAAAAAAAATCACCTAAAACTTCGTTAGAGTGATGTGTTACACAAATCTGTAGATGGAGCAGTGTGACGCGTGTGTATGTTGTGTTTTTTTGGCGGGAAAAAATTGCGTAAAGCAACCATAAATTTTGATTTTTTTTTCCTTTTTTATTTAGAGATGTAATTGTGAAGCGTGTGACGGTCACACGTGTACATTCAACTTAATTTTTTTTTTTTTTTAATAAAAAAAATTAACTCCTTTGTTTTTTGGTTAAGGAAGAAACAATTTGTTATGTACTCCTTATGTAATATGGCCCCAAAAAAATGTGGCCAACAAACCATAATGCATGTAAAGGTCCTAGAGGGAGGGGACCTTTAATGTACTACTAATATGTTTGTATTTGGAATCATCAATATGACGTATATATTTGTTTTTGGTTCATCATTTTTCTTTAATTTCAATTATCTCTTTAGATTTTTACTATCTTTTCTGCGTTTAGCCTGCAATGCATGTGAACTCCCAATGGCAATTTTTGTAGCTTTGTCAATTGTTTGCTATTGATTTTGTGACCTGACGACTTCTTCTACAGTAAATTCTTTGGTAGGAACTGCTTCATATTTTGGTCCCTCATACAATAAAGGATGAAATAGAATTTTAACATTGCTTGAGAGAATACATGCCTTCTCGTGACGAATGACTACTCACGTAACCATGTCTCCTCTCCTGCAAGCGAGGCCTACTCGGTTGGAGTTACCTCCGATCACTAAGCATAAAACTCGTGTTTCAGACCTCCTATCAAAATCGTTTTGAGATAAGGCAACAATGTTAAAAAATAACCACCTAACTTAATCTCTAAATATAAAACATGTGTTTAAGACCTATCAAAACTGGTCTGAATAATATCTCAAATTTGTGTTCAAGACCTATCAAAACTGGCCTGAGTAATATTTTTAAATTTGTTTCCTCGACGCCGACTAAATCCCTAATTGCAAGTATGTATAACCCATCAACAAACACGTACACAAGTTACAATATCAGTATGACTTGTTATGGCACATGCATTGTAGTTTGTAGGCCACGTTAATTACATTACATCAACTATGGACTGCCCCATATACATGCATAATAATAATAATGTATGTAGTTGGCATGAATAGGTTGGATGATTTATATTTTTATGATGGTGATTTACAACTCGTCTGTCTAAAAGTTGATCAATTTAATGATATAACATGGTCATCGTAAGCTTCAATTCATGACTTTAATTTCATCATTATGAACTCTACCTAACGGGCTAATTAATGTCCATATCTTAATTAATTAATTTGTGATTCTTATAATGTTTTGAGATTATTGGAGAGGTGACTAACGGATTGAACATAGTCCAATTTGGATTGTTAGTTAGGTTTTGGTGCATGACCTCCATCCCCCTTCTCAAATCATTAAATGTCTTTTGAAAAAGTACTCCATAATTCAGACTACAAGACAATAATACATACACCTTTTATCTAGTGTTATAATCGAGAGTTTCAATTAAAATATTAAATTACCAAGTAAAGTTTGGTGGAGTTGGTGGAGAACTCACCTTGTAACTTTGAGGTCACGAGTTCGAGCCCCATCAACTACAAAATACCTAGGAGTAGGGGGATTCCTTTACCTCCCCCCTCTACTCTCAAGCATTGACCTGAAATAAATAAAAAATAATGACATTCAATAATTGTAAATTGGTAAATATTATACTTGGTAAAAAGTTAATTGTTTTATTGTTGGGATAATTTTAATAAAATATAGATCAGATTGACTTTAATTTATACTTGGTATATATCATTTTACATTTTAGGGCCTGATCACATTTATTGAACTGAACTGAATTGAGCTGAAATGAATATTTTATGAGAGAGGGAATTTGGGAGCTGAATTGAACTGATTAGAGCTGAAATGAATTGAACTGGACTGAAATTAAGTAAATGTGAACAGACCCTTAGTCAAAGATTTTAAAGCTATGTTTTTAAAGAGAAAAATGGTGCAATTAACAAAATATTAACAATTGGTTGACTAAAGATGTAAATTAAATCTAGGGCATATATCATATATCATTAGTACGATATTTTTTATCCCTTTATTTTTAAGGATTCAAAACATTCACGAACGTAATTATGGAAACATGCAATACCAAATAAGATTTTTTTTCCAGTTTCACTAGATTATAAAACGGAGGAAGTATATTTTTTTATCCCTTTATTTTTAAGCTATGTACTAGACTACTAGGGGCCGCCACACCGTTACATCACCAGTGACAAAGTACATGAATGTATGCGTGAATTCGAGCTATAAGATAGAAGAGCGTTATATGTTCGCTTGGCGAAGCCAGAACAACAACGTACCACATTAACCAATAGCCACAATTTAGATGCCCTAGGAAGCAAGGCAACCAATGCACCATGAAGCTAAGCTAGCTAGCATATTGATAATACACCTACCAGCCAGCAACAATATAATAGACCAAGCCAATGTAATGCCGTACATCGTTAATGTCCAAGCAATGCAACGAACAATTATAGATATATTTTGTTATATAATATCATATCATCCATCTATTAGTAATCTTACGATCAAGTGGTATATCTTTTTAACTTGTCAATAGTTTGAGAGACATAAATGTGTTACAACTTTACATGAAACTTCCTATTTCATATTATTATCAATAATTATACCAAGCTAAGTGACAAATAAAATTAGTATTTTTTTTTAAAAAAAAGGAGCGTCAAATAATGCATGCAAAATTCGACGATAATCAAGGGATGATAAAGGGTCCTACTTCATCTTTTCAATCTAGTTAACTTGATCTATGTTTCAGTTGATTCGATTCAATAAAACTAGAATTTGTTAAATACACTCAGGTGTACCGTATATCCGGGTAATTTGCTCATTAATTTTTGCTCATTTATAAAATAACAAAATTTAATGAGGAAATAATGCGGGTGTATGGTATACCGGGGTGTACAGAATAGACTAACCAATAAACTGATATCAAACCCAAATTTTCTATATGAGGATATGTTAGATGGATGTTTTGGAATTTTTAAAATAAGATCCAGATCATCTTTGAGAATTTCATGATTAAATGCTAAACCTTTATGTATACACACACATATATGAATTCTCACATATGGACCTATTCTCACCGGATCCCTCCCCTATATATATGGAGATCGAGTGTCAGATTTGGCCAGCCCTACCCTTCATTTTAATTACATTATTAATCAATTAGCAGTATCATTTTTGTTTGGGAATTAGATGGTTTATATGGAACATTCACTTTTGAGTTGTTCATTTTCGATATTATTATTTGATTTAAAGTAATTAAGGTGTATATAGATCTTCATTTCTGTAACGATTTAATGGCAACACTTATATTGGTCCCTATATGTTTCCTTTTTAACTATAAAATTTGAGATAACAACATAATAGAGCAAAGACCCAAGTTTCTTAGAAAAAGTGCAAGTCATCATAAATCAAATAAACCAAACTAAATCGGATAATATATAAAAACTAAATAGGGACAAACTAAAGGTACAAACAGTCTCGGGGTGGTTTGGTTTGTTAATAAATTGAATTTGATTTGTATGGAATATCATATTAGGGAAATATGTGTTCTAAACTTCATACTAGTCTAAAGTTGTTTGATTTATTGTTAAAATGGTTTTTATTACATCTTACTGTGAAAGAAACTTCATACTAGTCTAAAGTTGGGAGGAAATTAGAGCTCTTGTTGTATCAAAATTGTATAGCTAAAAGCTTAATAATCAAATAATAAAATAGATTGAATGAGCCCTAATAACTCCGTTCCACCTTAACTCTGGAAGTCCAACCAAATAAGTCCTCAATTACGGATTGCAATTTGGGTATGTACGTATGGATCTAAGGAATATGGAATTCTTTTATAGGTACATGTTGAAGATTAACACGTGACTTGTTCCACATTGGAAAAAAAGTGAAAGAAAATACCATTTTATAAGCTAGAATAGTTAACTTTGCAATCACCATTTGGTGTTAGTACAAAAATCTTTTTCAGGTTTGTGAGTGGATCAAGTTAAAAGTTCGTTAAACAATAAAATCATTTTGCTTTTGATATCCTCCTTGCAATCTGGTATCTCGCATCCTTAGTAATCAAAGATATCATCAAATATTCGTCTCTTTTATGTCACAATAATTTTATTTTATTTTATTTTATTTTTTTTGTGCAATTTTTATGTCACAAGATACATAGTAACTACTAATTAGTAAATCATACTTGTAAAGTTATAATTCTTAATTAGCTACTTTTGTAGTACATAAATCAATTTAATAATACTAACATATACGAGTTGCGAGCCAGTACTCTCCCTCATAATATAACTCGTATTAGTTTTAATTATTTGCACTATTTATACACCACTTATATATCTTACTACGAGTAGGATTTATTTTGCTAATACTAAGAAGAAATAAAATAAAATGTTATTGTAGTTTGTAAGATGGTGATGGATTCAATGTATACCCAAAACCATTTTTTTTTAATTTTTTTTTTTGTACAAATTAAGTAATTGATTTTGTAAGATATTAACACTTAATAGTCTAAATTTTACAATGACAAGCATGCATGTGTTTTATGTCTAATCAAAGTGATGCAATTGTTGTGGCACATAAGAGCTAGTTGACGAAGAAAAAATAATGCTTGAAATTTAATTTTGGAAAATAACAAATGCAGTTGTAAGCTACAATGCTACATATATATAAAAAAAAAAAAATAATGACATAAGTAATCATCAATTATATATGATACATTGATTGATGCATATTTTTGTCATAAATATTGGAACTTATAGCATTGTTCGAAAGAAGCAAGGTTGCATATATCACTACTCTTTAGTCTTATTCGTTCTTTAAACACTAATACTATGCAGTCTGTAGTCTGTACTACCTAGTATATATTTCCACAAATTCTAAGTTTTTTTTTATTTTTATTTCAAAATTAATTTGACTATTCGAGGACCACTGAATTGGCAAAAAAGTGTTGCAGAGACAAAATTGTAATCTATGATGACAAAGACTCAATACTGCAATGGAATATTACTTCTTTGTAGCAACTCTTTCAGTAATTTATAGTTTTGTTGTTCACATCAATTTTTTATAATGTGGTTCCCACAATAAAATAAAGATTTAAAAGTAGATTATTATTTCTTTATTTTATATTTCTTTATTTTTATGTCATGATTTTCTAAATTTAAACAATTTTCAAGAGTAAATTAAATGCTTATATGTAGCCCTTAGGGCTATATATAGAATTTTCCATAACAACTGGTTTTATTATGGGACAGCTCATGATGTTCATATCGATCTATTATACGCCCCTGCATCTAGCATTGGGTAGACCTCATACAATAATTGTCCTAGCTCTA